GTTGCCGGTCCCCGGTACGGGCGCAACACCGAGGGTTGCGATCCCGTTACCGGTCAGTAAAAAAGACAAAAAGGGAAAAAAAAAAAAGAATGGCTATTATTAAAAAGATAGAAAACAATAAATTCCAGCAAGGATGCAGAGAAAGAGGAAATCATATACATTTTTGGTGGGAATGTAAATTTGTACACCACTATAGAAAACANCGCGCCTCTCCGGGGGCTCCTCGGGCTTCCCGCCCGGGCCGCGGGTGAGACGTGCCCGCGGAGTCTGCCTCCTTCTGCTGTCGGAGGCGCCGGAGGGTCGCAGTCGCGTCCTCAGACTTCTGTATGGTGTTTCCGCGTGGGAGTTGTCCTCGCTCCTCTCCCGCGGAGGCGCGATCCAGTGTTTTCTTTTGGCTTCACTGGCTCGAACAGAGAAAAGAACAACTTTCTGCTGCTTTTACAGAGTCTGGAACGGAGTGATGACAGTTTGTTTACTCGCAGTCACACATGCAGGGTACGAGTATGACATGCTGTGCCCTGGTCCTCTACTTGTGTCATGGAAGAGCGTCCTAAATTTTCACATACTGGACAAACATACAACTTATTAGAATTGGTAATTTGGTTTAGATGGTTTAGGATATTTTCTCCTGTCAGGATTCGAGGAATTTGAAAGTATTAATAGCATTATACGTCTTATTTTAGTGTAATACCTGGATATGAGGTCAGGTTTGTGATGTGAATGCCCAGTATTAAAATACGTACCATGGATAAAGATGAAGGATTTTGCTGTTAGAATTTTTATTCTTTGGGTTTACACTTCTTTGTCATGAAGTAACTTTTACAAGTGGTCTGTGAATTTCTCCTAAAAATAGGAACGAGAGAACAAGTGTTCAGTTGCAGTATGGTTTCTTCGTGAAAGTTTGGTTTTATGTCAGGGTATCCTTTGTCCTTTCTTTAAAATGTAGGGAGGTTTCCCTTCTCCCAACTTCTTACCAGATCATCATAATTCATAAAAAGTTATGTAGCTCTTGAGACAAAATTCAGTTTAGCAGCATGACTAGTTCTTTCTGAGGGCAGAGTTGTATGTGTCTTTATGTTGTAGTATTTTGGGTACTTGAAAGTAAAACCATTTTCTTAAATATATTTCTCACCGTTACCTTTTAAAGTGCTTGGATTTTTATTCCAACATGAGCGAGGTATTGTATTTAATTATTTTGAAAAATTTTAAGCAGTTTATCAGGAAAAGCATTACGTTTAATATGAAATAACGTGTAGTCTCAGAATGTAGACAGTTGCCTTGATATACTTTTTATTATGGTAAAGTATATGTAACATAAAGTTTACTGTTTTAGCCACTTCTAGGCATACAGCTCTACGTTCCTTTATTTGCTTTTAAGGCATTCTAAAGATACTAATTTGCTGTTTAGACTGCCTTATATTAAGAATGTACAAATAAATTGTGTACATGTGTTATCTCAGCAAATGGTACAGAATCAAGTGGTTTTCTTTTATGTGGGACGTGAAGTGATAATTGAATCTAAAACCAGAAATGGAGGATGCATTTTAGTAAGCTAACTAAAAATAAATATACAAGCTCTGAAAATCACTATAGAGGTAATGATAGGGTACTGCAAAAATGGAAATGATAATTACTCAGGTTTTCAGATACCTGCCATGGTTAGTATCTCTGGTTCTGTTATATTCCTACAACGTGGTGAGGAAAAACCGATTAATCCTTCATGCTTGGCACCTTATTTTTCTTCATTTAAGAAAGGGTTATTTGCACTTTGAGAGAGTGGCTTTTTAGTGATCCACTTTTGTATTTGATTATCAAATAAAGGAGGCAATTATCAAAAGCAAAAAAAAAGCAAAAATTCTCAGCCATTTCAAAATTATATTAGATATCTTTTGTTCATTATTTTCATTTTGTGAAGTGTTACATTCAAACAAAATTGTAATTCTCAGCCATTTCAAAATTATATTAGATATCTTTTGTTCATTATTTTCATTTTGTGAAGTCTTACATTCAAACAAAATTGTATTTTGTTCTCACATAATGTCACTAAATGCACTAATTTTTTTTTTCCTTTTTGTCTTTTTTCATGACTGGTAATGGGATTGCAACCCTCGGTGTCGCGCCCATACCGCGACTGGCAATGGGATCGCAACCCTGGGTGTCGCATCTGCA